TATCTTAAACTCATCTTGTTGTTATTTCTTCATGCATTTATAAAGATAAATATTATTTTATGGCCATAAGAATGAAAGTTTGAATTAATTTGTAGTTTGAGGTCTACCTTGGAGATTTAAATGAGTGAAACTTAAGGTGAAATAACCTTTAGTTATTTGTTATTATAATCTCATTTATCCTGACTAGTTACTATAAGCATAATTCAAATTTTTATTTTATCAAGAAGAATTAATATATTCATTTAGTATTGGTTAAAAGTATTTCTATGTATATTATTTAGTTATTGATATTTATTAGATAATTGTTCTCACTCCTTATTTTTCTTGTTTAAAATATTGAATTAATTATAATAAAAAATAGATGGATCTACCAACCGTACCAGGTCCTTTCATTTCTGTTATCACTATTGTCTTTCCGGTTACTAGTTGGGCTATGGACACAACCACAAATGCTGTTACATTTCAAGGCATAGGAGATTCAACTTTTGTTTTTTCACCAACTCAGTAAAACTCTATTGTTATAGATGGTCAAATAGTAGTCACTTTTTATCTATTCCCAACAAATCACGTTAATCCAATAATAAATTTGTATCAACCTAATATGTAAATATTGTAATAAATATGTGAAAAGTAAGTAGTTACGCACATAGTTGTAAATATTTTTAAAATAATATGTAATGTAATTATAAGCTAATTATATGTAAATGAGTTTGAAAAATCTTTCTTTATTATCATGTATAATATTATTAATATTATACTTGTGTTTTCAAATTTATAAATATTATATATACATATAATATTGGATTTAATATTTATATGACTAGACATTACATTCACCACTCTCCCTAGATCCCCACAAAAACCATCTTGCTCCATAGTCAAAGTGGTGACCTCATTTGCTTATATTCCCTTTTCTTTCAACCAACCTTCTCTCGCACTCTCTAGCCGCACCACGAATCAACTCCAACTCCTCTTTAAACAACTTAATCTATTCCTCCTTCCCAAGAAGCTTCTCCAGCTCTTATTCTTTCTCTTGTAGTCGTTACTTCAACCTTTCAAATGCACTCACCGCATGTGACCTATCTCGCCACATGTTCTCACAAACCTTTTTTAGCGGTTATTCATCACCTCACTTGCATGTAATTAGGGGTGTGTAAATTAAATTGCACTAAACTGAACTATTAAAAATTGTATTAAACTGAAAAATAGTTCAATTAAATTGAACTGAACTGAAAATTAGATCACACAAACTGAACTGAACTATTTTTTATTCTATTTAACTGTACTGCACTAAACTACATTGTACTATAATATGAACTAAATTGAACTATTATGTGCCTTAATCTATTTCTGAACTGCATTATTTTCAAACTAAACTGATTATGAACTGCTTCTAAACTATGCTAACTTTTCTTAATACCTTGAAAAAAAGATAGGAATCCAATATAAACTAAACAAAAACTAAACTAGGGACATTCATCATTCGTATAACTGAGGAACACTATAGAAGATAGTATAAATGATTAATGAACATTATATACATTCAAAATGGACTCACACATCATAAAGGCCAAATTCCTCCTCTACAGTAGCCCCAACAACACTTGCAATAAAGTTTCCATGGGACAAGACAACACCCTAACCAGAATTTGTTGAGTAGAAACATGAAAATTAAAAATCTAGCCTACTATATCTTCAAGGGCAACATATCAATCTGCAAAAATATGTAATGCTCCAAATTGAACAGCAGCAGACAAATCAACTAAACCTTCATCAATACAATTGTTTTTATCAAGCAGACACTAGAAATTAGTTGCACTCTGTAAAAGGTTCATTGTTCACATGATAAATTAGGCTGAAAGAGAGGAGGAAGAGAAACAAATTAACCAAACTACTAACCTCAAAAAATATGTCTAAAATGCCATTCATTCCCATGTAAATCAGTTGCAACCAATTCTTGCCATGGTGGCTGCAAAGACATATCCTGAAGCAGTAAGTGTCTTGCAAAACGAATGGACCTTGACCCTCGGAGATTCAGGCAGAGGATCATCTGGGCTGGTCACCTCACTTTGCTAAACCAACAAGGCAGGGAAAAATAAGACATACACAACATGGGAAAGAGAAACTAAATGGGCAAAAAATAGTTATGACTTAAAAAGAGTTTGAGACAAATTGAGAGTAGAAAATGTTTAGATATATAAATCATGTAAAATAAAGAACAAGAGTATACTAACATCTGCTTCAGGAAGCAAAGTTATCTGTGCATATACTTCATCTATTTCAAGTTCAGCCTACACCACCGAGATAAATTTAACAATTAAATGATTATCAATGTATTGTTAATCATGATAAACTTTCACACAAGTTATTGAAAAAAGAAGAGTATCCAGTAAGCTTGTCAAGAAAATTTAGAACTCACCCGAAGATGAACATTGACCACTTTACACAATATTTTGGAAGGCAGATTGAAGGAAGGCATCTGCTGCTCTAATCCCTCATACATAGATGCCTCAAACTATAAAATAGAAAAACAAGACAACAGAAGGACATAAACATTACCTAGTGAATTCTCCTGTGTGGAACTTTTTGGGGATTGCATTATATTTTGAATAAACAACCATTTCAGTCAGATATTTCAGCTTGAATTCCTAATGATTTGATTTGAATTGTTTTATTAGAAGAATTAATTGTTTGCATGTGATAATTTATATGACAATGAAGATACAATAGGCTATTTTAAAACTGTAATTTGTGAAGCATTTGTCTTGAGAGTCATTAAATGGAAATCAATCTAAAATTATATAGGTTTCTCATAAACAAAAAAAAAACATAAAACTAAGCAGACAATAAGCATTTGTCTCTATTTAAAAATATGTAGGTTCTCCCATGAACAACAAAATCAAAAAATTAATACATCTTCAAACATAAGTTGAATCATAAAATAAAACTTATCAACCACATCTTCAATCATCCAAATGAATAACACTTGAAGGTCCCACTTCATCTTGAGAGGTTATCTCTACAAAAAAAAAAATCATCATTTTCAAAAATTTAAAATATAAACTAAAAAATTATAAATTTTTAATATAAACTCACCTTGCTCAAATTTATCAAGCTCTTTAGGATCCTCATCAAAAAGTATAGAGAAAGGTGTTCCTTTCAACCAATCTTGGGTGCAAACAAGTACTTCCAATATTTTAGGCGTTAGGCAACTACGATAAGGACTAACAACCCTACCGCCTGTGCTGAATGCACTTTCTGATGCTACAGTAGAGATGGGAATGACCAACACCTCGCGAACCATGTTTGCAAGGATAGGAAATCTAGTTGAGTTGACTTTCCACCAATGTAAAACATCAAGCTCAACTAACTTTGTATAAGGTTCAAGATCTTCTCTCAAATATTTATCAAGCTCTGATATATAATCAGATCTATGTCCAATAGCTTGGGTAGAAACTCATGCCATGAGGATCATCATCTTAATCATCTAGCTGTGATTCTTGTTGGCTACTTTGAGAACCCTCCTCAACACCTTGATATTGTTCATAAAGTGTTTTCAAAGATGAAAACAAATTTGATTTCAATTGACTAGCCATAACAGATTCAAATATATAGTCAATGAAGTAATTAACAAAATCCAACTTACTCCTAGGATCAAGCACAACAGTAATCAATAATAAGATATTAATTCCATTAGGATTTCCCCAATATTTGTCATACTTTCCCTTCATCCTTAATGCCATCAACCTTATGCTCACATCACTACTCTCAGAATATTGTCGAATCTTTTTACCAATTCCAAACACATCCTTCATGTACATATGACTGATGACATATGAAGAACCAGAAATGCGCATGGTAGAGTCATATAACATCTTTAAAAACGGTAGAACATACCTCGTATATTCCCAATCCTCTTCTAGTGGCACACTACCATTACCTTTGGCCATTTCAACACCAAATTTCTTGTCTTGCATATCTAGCAAGACAAGCATCTTTGTACTTCAAGCTTGCCTCTAACATTAAGTAAGTTGAATTCCACCTGGTTTCAACATCAAGGCAAACGAAACCTTTGTAAGAAATTCGCTCTTGCTTAGCACAAGCCTTGAATCTAGCAAAACTAGCTAGAGAAGACTTCAAATATTTAACTGCATTTCAAATTTTCAAAATTGAATCTTTGATCTCTTTTAAATCATCCTTCACAATCAAACTCAATATATGTGCACAACAACGCATATGGACATATTCTCCCTTTAAGACAAGACAATTCCATGATAACATCCTCCTTTTAAGATATTAGACCCCATCATCATTTGCTGTAGCATTATCCACAGTGATACTAAGGACTCGCTTCAACTCCTAATTATTCAAGCATGCCTTAACATGTTTAGCAATGAGCTCTCTTGAATGTCCTGTTGTTTGAGAAAAATTCAAAATTTTCTTTTAAAGCTTCAGTCATTATCAACAAAGTGTGTTGTAGTTTAGATTTTGGATTGAAGTTCATGTGTCTGTAGTTAAGCAAACCCTCCCACATTGTTTTGATAGAAAAATTTTTAACTTTGCTTTTTCTTCTTCATAGAGTTCGCACATTTCACACCTCAATGTGGTGCGGGATCGGACTTCAAATCGTGGTTGCAATGACCATACAAAGTCACGAAAGTCATCATCTTCCACAAATCAAAAAGGAAGCTCAAACTTCACAAACATCTTCACCAACTTCATTTGAGATGCATTTTGGTCAAATTTAGAAATAGTTGGCAAAGGGCCAACACTAACCCCTTCTATAGTTGACGATGAAAGTTTAAGCCTCTTGAATACTTTTACTTTTTTTATTTTACTTATATTTGTTTTGTAAAGAACATTTTAGAACTTGTATGTAGGCTTATGACAATGCTGCCCATGTTTAGTTCCCCTACCACTTTGAATCTCAAATGTAGTAGCATTCTACATGAAGCATCGAACTAGAGGTTTGGGGACTAAAATTTCTGAGTTAATAATATGTCCTATATATGCCAACCTACCAACTGAACTACAAGCTAAAATATTTGAACCCACCCCTGAAGGAGCCCGAAAGGTTGTCCTTGCTACTAATATTGCAGAAACCTCATTGACAATTGATGGGATCAAGTATGTCATTGATCCTGGATTTTGTAAAATGAAAAGTTATAATCCAAGAACAGGAATGGAGGCTTTGCAAGTAACTCCCATCTCAAAAGCTTCAGCGATGCAAAGAGCTGGTCGTGCTGGAAGAACTAGTCCAGGAATGTGCTTTAGATTGTATTCTGCATACACTTTTCAAAATGAAATGAATGATAACACTGTGCCAGAAATACAGCGGACTAATCTTGCTGGTGCAGTTTTGTCTTTAAAAAGTCTTGGTATTGGTGACTTATTTAACTTTGATTTCATGGATCCTCCACCTAAAGAGGCCTTATATAAAGCACTGGAACTTCTATATGCATTAAGTGCTTTAAATAAGCATGGTGAGTTAACTAAAGTGGGTAGACGGATGGCAGAGTTCCCACTTGATCCTATGTTGTCAAAAATGGTAGTGGCTTCAGAAAAGTACAAATGTTCAGATGATATCATTTCTATTGCTGCTATGCTTTCTGTTGAAAACTCAATATTTTACCGTCCAAAGGATAAACAAGTGCATGCAGACAATGCAAGGATGAATTTTCACACTGGAAATGTGGGAGACCATATTGCATTGCTAAAGGTTCTGTTCTTGTGACTTTTTTATTTTTTTATTTTTTATTTTGGCTGTTATCAACTTGTGTATATCCATTTTTCCTTTCTGTGAAATGTAAGGCACTATTGTTGATATCATTATAGATTTGAATATTTGTTGTGTATTTATTTTTTCATCTAGTTGAAACACGACCAGATTATCATTGGCATGCACATGTGTCAAAAATTAATCTGTTTGAGATTCTAGCTGGACCTTATTGATTTATTTTTTCATTCAGGTCTACGATTCATGGAAGGAGACCAATTTTTCAACACAATGGTGTTATGAAAATTATATACAGGTACATATGCATCTTTGTTTTGCAATCCAGTATTTGTCACTTCCATATTTAGTGCATGTGCTAGAGAGTGGTAAGCCCTTGTCCATTGTTACGTAAAATAAGTAGTGACTACGAGAGTTGAGAAAATTAGAGGAAGTGAGGAGAGAAAGTATTGGTGTAATGTTTAGAAATGTTTCTTGATTTTACTATTTTTAATTTTAATTTTAGTTAATTTTGTTCTCTTGTATATAAATAAATTCATTCTGCTGGGTGGAATTATCACTCAAGCATATTCAGAAAATGAAATCTCTCTCTCTCTTAACTATAATCAAGGAACATTTTGGCCAATCTGTAGAGTGGTAATATTTATTTTGGCCCTAAAAATCTACCTCCATATTCTCCTTATTTACTGTGGGGATGTATGGTGTTTTAATTGTAAATTATTATGGTGCTATGTTATAGCTACTCTAGAGGGTTTTCATTTGCAAAGAGATTGGCTACCCTTAGGAAGTAGTATTTAGTAGTGTTTTTCTTCCTATCTATATACCTATTATTTTTTGGGTTTCTTGTAGAAGGATGTCATCTTTTCTTACTTTTTTTATTTTACTTATATTTGTTTTGTAAAGAACATTTTAGAACTTGTATGTAGGCTTATGACAATGCTGCCCATGTTTAGTTCCCCTACCACTTTGAATCTCAAATGTAGTAGCATTCTACAATGATCTGTTAGTGACAATTTGATACTTGAGTTCTTTCATCTGTCAAAATGCCTTTGTTAGAATTTATTCATGTTTTGTACATCCATGCTTTGACTTTTGGTGTAATATTTTATTTTATTTTGATATTGGCTGACGTCCTTTCGACGTTGGTGGAGTATCCTGGTTGTCCTTATTCGGGTGGCCTTTTTTGATTTTCTGGTTTTGTTGGCTCTGCGTAGGCTGTTATCCGCTGGGGGATTTTGTCGTATTGATCTTGATTGGCCTTTTTTGTTAGGCGGATTATCTTGACGTTCGCTGTTTAGCTGAATACCGAATTCCGCTTGGGGAATGATTATCGATCTTTTCGGATTTTCTCTTTTTTTTTTTTTGAAGGAGTGCCTCTGAGTAGGCGAATGGGGATTGAGGATCTTATGTATCCCAGAGTATTATTTAGAAAGCCTCTTCAGGCTTAGCTTCACTCGTCGCTCGAGTTGGAAAGCTATCTTCCACTGAGGAAGTCTAAGTCCTTTGACTCGGATATTTTGTTTGGATGATCATGCTTCCATGGGGAATCTTGCTGATCTTGCTCTGATAGCTTTCACTGGGAATTCGGCCCAAGAGTGCAAGCTGAGATGTCTCTGGGGAGTATTATTTCGGCAAGCCTTTCCAGGCTCAGTTATTCTGTACAATTGTTGAATTTTCTGAATTTTTGCCTTTTTTTGCCGATTTCGGCTTTTTTCTGTTGGCTGCTGTCATACGCAAGAAATTTTTCCTATTTTTATATTTTATGCGACTGCCTCATGATAAGGTCTTTGAATGTGCAACTAATGTGTGTGTGATGCACAAAATGCAAGTTTAATCATTTTGTTAATGTTTTTAGAAAAATGAATGGCTCTCCCTATCCTCCTCTTCTTGGAGGAATTTCTGTCGTTGACGTGAGGGAGGATTTCTGTTAGCACCATCAAGAAAACCATTACATCCGGTAAACTTATAAACTATTAATTTCTTGCACTGTAGTTATTTTTTTAGTCTACCAAATCTAATTTTTAACTGCTGCAGGGTTTTTCCCACACACTGCACGTAATAACGTAGTCATTCGTAATATTCTTTAACAAGTTCTCGTTTAGACTTTCATTCAATACTGTTTGTTAAGAATTTGAACTACTCTTTTACAAAAATTCTCCCACACATCTCTTTTACTCTATTTTTTTTTTCTTTTCGTGTTATGGAAATAATATACTTGCACACACTTCTTTGACTTTTCTTTCTTCCTACCATCCTCAGTCATGGGTTCAATTAACACATTTTTTTTTTGTTAAGCAAATAGTAAATTTGCAAGAATAATATTTTTTTTATATATATTTCTTAGTTATGATAGTAGGCAAATTTATGAAATATTAATATATTTGTAAGTTAGAGAAAAGTTATAAATTAAAGAACTTTTTTTTGATATATAATAATAACGGAAAGGTGATTTTTTAAAGAAAAAATAACTAGACTGAATAACTTACCAAAATTGTGATAATACCTTCATTATTTGTTTTAACTTTATCTTTTAATATTTAGATTATAATTTATCAAAAATGGTCAAAAAGTTATCCGTGTATTTTAATTTTTAAAGAAAAACATTACTTACGAATTATTTACAATATTTTTTAATATAAATAATTTAATATACACAAAGGGTATGTATAATTGTTTTTAAAAGAAAAACACTACTTACGATGATTTATAAGAATTTCAGTAAAAAAAATATTTTGATATATTATTTTAAAAAATAATTGCTTAATAAAGAAGCATAATTATATGTTCAAGATGAAGATTAAACTTAATTATTGATTAAAGAATACACATGTCAAAGTACTTGAATTAATGACTTTTAATTTAGTTTAAATACTTTTATGTTACTCATTTGAAATAATAACCAATTGTAATGTTGATAGTTAGTATTTTAAGTAAATAAAATATTTAACTAAACATGTTAAATTTTGATGCAAGAAAAATGTTTCATGTCATTCTTACGAATAATTCATTTTGACGTCTTTAGACTAGGAAAATTGCAAACATACTCCATATTATTTTTGTGACACACGTCATTTTTAAGGATCATTTAGGCAATATTCAAAATGAAACATGAGTCCTAAACAACTAAATTCCCGCTCAAATTGTCTCTTCTATGTCCTTTTTTTTTTATATGCTCGTCAAATTATCTTGTATCTATGACTTAAATCTAAAAAATTATTATTATTATTATTATTATTATTGTTATTATTATCATGTATTCCGTTTATATTTTCAAACTCCCTAAATATTAGATGATAATAATTGTAGGACTACCTGTAGCTATCGATTATAAATAACGCACTCTCTTAACTTTGGAAGAAGAATGGAAATATCTCAATTTATCTTTATTTACTCTATAATTTTTTAGCTCTTTAATGGTAAAAATACAAGATTAGTAATAGAGTAGTATTTTTTTTAAAAGAAAAATAAAATAATATATATATATATAGACCTTTCAAAATTATAGAAATTAACAAAACAATTTAAATTTGAGATACCAAAAACCGAATTTAAGAGATTATTGAATGGCATATGCCAGATTCAATGAATCTGTACAACCATGAGCAGTAAATACAAGTTGCTCTGAATATTTTCTACATTAAAGCACTGCACTAAAAATTTTTTACAATACTAAACTAGCAGTGCTAATAAAATTGAATTAGATGTCACTTATTACAAAAGAATGAGACTGATATCTACATGACAAAATTTGTTGGTAAGTGAAATCAACACTCAACCAAAGGATGCACATGCAACTGCAACTGCGAAAGTTACTTCAACAGGTAAGGATATAGGATGCTATACTCTAAATATACAGTTATAAATTATTTACAGTACATTATTTTTTTACCAGCCAAAGCATATATAAAGATGTGTCAGCTATCTATCCTCTTGAGCACGTCCTGGTCCACGTGGCAATTTCTTCGAAGATGCTGCCACAAAATTCAATTCAACAACTCATTAGATCAATAGAATTGAAGTTCTAACTATAATCTAATCAGAAGTTCATGCCATAAATCAACAAAATATTCTTGTTACAACAATTAACAAATTGGAAGTTGATTAATATGCTATTCGCAGCTTCACCAAAATGTCTTCCGATAGCTCGCTTGCGAAGTTCATGACAACTGCACTTTTTTCCACTTATTGAGTTAAATTTGAATTTACTGATTTTACATGTTCAATAGATAACTCATGGTATAACAATAACGCTTACAAGCGGACTAATTATGAAAGGGATGTATAACAATTATTTAATTAACTATCCATTATTAAGTTACACAAGATAGGTAAGTCAAAAGAATAACAAATCCTACTACAATGTTCTCCAATTAATCTGTTTTACTTTTCTCTGAATTCTATCAAGTGAACAGAAGGATCAGTAAGATGTTGTCAAAGGATTTATAATTATAGCCATCAAATTCCTTAAACCAAAGAGAGGAAAAAAAAATAAATCCCATCAATAGGAGGAATGAAATGCAACTTTAAATTTCAAATATTATAATTTAACGGTTGGCTCTTTGCAAAAAAATATAATGCCAATTTAAGAGAGAAAGAGAGAGCATACAGTCTTCAACATCCTTAAGCTGGTAATAGTGGGGGGCTTCAGAAAATGAAATCTCTCTCTCTCTTAACTATAATCAAGGAACATTTTGGCCAATCTGTAGAGTGGTAATATTTATTTTGGCCCTAAAAATCTACCTCCATATTCTCCTTATTTACTGTGGGGATGTATGGTGTTTTAATTGTAAATTATTATGGTGCTATGTTATAGCTACTCTAGAGGGTTTTCATTTGCAAAGAGATTGGCTACCCTTAGGAAGTAGTATTTAGTAGTGTTTTTCTTCCTATCTATATACCTATTATTTTTTGGGTTTCTTGTAGAAGGATGTCATCTTTTCTTACTTTTTTTATTTTACTTATATTTGTTTTGTAAAGAACATTTTAGAACTTGTATGTAGGCTTATGACAATGCTGCCCATGTTTAGTTCCCCTACCACTTTGAATCTCAAATGTAGTAGCATTCTACAATGATCTGTTAGTGACAATTTGATACTTGAGTTCTTTCATCTGTCAAAATGCCTTTGTTAGAATTTATTCATGTTTTGTACATCCATGCTTTGACTTTTGGTGTAATATTTTATTTTATTTTGATATTCAGGTTAGGAGTATGAAACGGGCTAGGGATATCCGTGATCAACTTGCAGGTCTTTTAGAGAGGGTTGAGATTGAATTAACTTCAAATGCTAATGATTTAGATGCCATCAAGAAAACCATTACATCCGGTAAACTTATAAACTATTAATTTCTTGCACTGTAGTTATTTTTTTAGTCTACCAAATCTAATTTTTAACTGCTGCAGGGTTTTTCCCACACACTGCACGACTGCAAAAGTATGGGTCATATCAGTCTGTTAAACTTTCACAGACTGTTCATATACATCCTAATTCGGGGCTGGTGGAGGTAGTTTGGTGTTGTTTGTTGCTGATGACATCTGTTGTTTTAATGGACTGTGTGTACTCCTTTTTTAGAGAAGTTTTAAAAGAAATTCTAACAACTCAACCTGGTGTACACAGTCCATTAAAACAACAGATGTCATCAGCAACAACTTATGATGACATCTGTTGTTTTAATGGACTGTCTGTACTCCATTTTCAGGAAATTTTATAAGAATCAATCAATTTTATATTGCATGAATGTGCATTAAGACTTATGAAGTTGGGATTGCTATGCTCTAGTAAAAGATACCCAATTGTTTCTCATTTCATTTTTTGTTCTCTTTGTTTACCTTTCATAGGTTCTTCCTAGATGGGTTGTATACCATGAACTAGTACTCACAACCAAGGAATATATGAGACAGGTATTCCTAACTGTTAACTAAGTCAAATGTTTCATGACTTCTTGCAATGGATATCGGTCAATAGCTGAAATTGCATACTCAAATTGCAGGTGATAGAATTAAAGCCAGAGTGGTTGGTGGAAATTGCCCCCCCCTATTACCTGCTCCTTTGAAATCTCGGGCTCTCTAATTGTAATCCCTGCTCCAAGGGGTACAGCTTCCGGAGGCTCTTGCTCTTGTTCCTCCTCATGATGGGACTCATGGTCACTGTGTTGAGCCTCGTGCATGTTCTGGTGACGCATGAGTTCCATCATTTGCGCCATTTGCTCTTTGAGCTGTGAGAGCTCGGCTGTAAGCTTCCTATTTTGTTCCTCCAATGCGTCCATTTTCTTGAGTTTCTGTGCGCGCGTGAGGACAAGACTTCTTGCAATGGATATCGGTCAATAGCTGAAATTGCATACTCAAATTGCAGGTGATAGAATTAAAGCCAGAGTGGTTGGTGGAAATTGCCCCCCACTATTACCAGCTTAAGGATGTTGAAGACTGTATGCTCTCTCTTTCTCTCTTAAATTGGCATTATATTTTTTTGCAAAGAGCCAACCGTTAAATTATAATATTTGAAATTTAAAAGTTGCATTTCATTTTTCATTCCGCCTATTGATGGGAATTTTTTTTTTCTTCTCTTTGGTTTAAGGAATTTGATGGCTATAATTATAAATCCTTTGACAACATCTTACTGATCCTTCTGCTCACTTGATAGAATTCAGAGAAAAGTAAAACAGATTAATAGGAGAACATTGTTGTAGGATTTGTTATTCTTTTGACTTACCTATCTTGTGTAACTTAATAATGGATAGTTAATTAAATAATTGTTATACATCCCTTTCATAATTAGTCCGCTTGTAAGCGTTATTGTTATACCATGAGTTATCTATGGAACATGTAAAATCAGTAAATTCAAATTTAACTCAATAAGTGGAAAAAAGTGCAGTTGTCATGAACTTCTCAAGCGAGCTATCGGAAGACATTTTGGTGAAGCTGCAAATAGCATATTAATCAACTTCCAATTTGTTAATTGTTGTAACAAGAATATTTTGTTGATTTATGGCATGAACTTCAGATTAGATTATAGTTAGAACTTCAATTCTATTGATCTAATGAGTTGTTGAATTGAATTTTGTGGCAGCATCTTCGAAGAAATTGCCACGTGGACCAGGACGTGCTCAAGAGGATAGATAGCTGACACATCTTTATATATGCTTTGGCTGGTAAAAAAATAATGTACTGTAAATAATTTATAACTGTATATTTAGAGTATAGCATCCTATATCCTTACCTGTTGAAGTAACTTTCGCAGTTGCAGTTGCATGTGCATCCTTTGGTTGAGTGTTGATTTCACTTACCAACAAATTTTGTCATGTAGATATCAGTCTCATTCTTTTGTAATAAGTGACATCTAATTCAATTTTATTAGCACTGCTAGTTTAGTATTGTAAAAAATTTTTAGTGCAGTGCTTTAATGTAGAAAATATTCAGAGCAACTTGTATTTACTGCTCATGGTTGTACAGATTCATTGAATCTGGCATATGCCATTCAATAATCTCTTAAATTCGGTTTTTGGTATCTCAAATTTAAATTGTTTTGTTAATTTCTATAATTTTGAAAGGTCTATATATATATATATTATTTTATTTTTCTTTTAAAAAAAATACTACTCTATTACTAATCTTGTATTTTTACCATTAAAGAGCTAAAAAATTATAGAGTAAATAAAGATAAATTGAGATATTTCCATTCTTCTTCCAAAGTTAAGAGAGTGCGTTATTTATAATCGATAGCTACAGGTAGTCCTACAATTATTATCATCTAATATTTAGGGAGTTTGAAAATATAAACGGAATACATGATAATAATAACAATAATAATAATAATAATAATAATAATTTTTTAGATTTAAGTCATAGATACAAGATAATTTGACGAGCATATAAAAAAAAAAGGACATAGAAGAGACAATTTGAGCGGGAATTTAGTTGTTTAGGACTCATGTTTCATTTTGAATATTGCCTAAATGATCCTTAAAAATGACGTGTGTCACAAAAATAATATGGAGTATGTTTGCAATTTTCCTAGTCTAAAGACGTCAAAATGAATTATTCGTAAGAATGACATGAAACATTTTTCTTGCATCAAAATTTAACATGTTTAGTTAAATATTTTATTTACTTAAAATACTAACTATCAACATTACAATTGGTTATTATTTCAAATGAGTAACATAAAAGTATTTAAACTAGGTTCGTACTCGACCTCGATTTGGAGTAAAACGAATGTTGCCGAGGTTCGTACTCGACCTCGGGTGAGCGTATTGAGGTTCGTACTCGACCTCGATTTGGAGTAAAACGAATGTTGCCGAGGTTCGTACACGACCTCGGGTGAGCGTATTGAGGTTCGTACTCGACCTCGATTTGGAGTAAAACGAATGTTGCCGAGGTTCGTACTCGTCATGCCACTTGTCCCAGCCAAATATTTAATCAAATCTCCAGAGTAATTGCATTTAGCCTTCTTCTCAAAATAAGGTTTTTGTTTAGTAAAATGTTCCCACATGTTTGATCGACCTTTACTTTGCCCAGTCGATGATGAATCAATACAAGGGGGTACATCATTAATTCTAGAAGCATCTGGTGAGAGAGTTTCTATGGTGTTGGCAATGTAAAGTCCATCTGATAACAAAAAACAAGGATGCAAGAAAAATATATTACTAATTACTACTATATAACACACAATATAAAGGAAAATATATTACCTTTTAATGTTTTGGGCTATATAGGTTGGGATTAGGACAACTTGTATACAAAATTAATCATTTTTATACATAAAATATATTAACTTTTAAGAAAAATATATTATCATTTTTCAATTGCTTCTATCAACTTTTATACATAAAAAAGTAGTACCAGAATCAAGTTTTTTCCACACAATCACACCCCATCATAATTATAAAATTGCAAAATTAATCATACATGATCTTTTTCATACAATAAGAATATTAATCAACATACATGATCTTTCTGAAATGTTTTTTTTTTTATGTAATTAGTGGTCTCAATCACAAGTTAATATCAAGTATTAATTATTGAAAAGTTGTTGCACTTGTTGAACGGTCCTGCTTTTACAAATCAATGAAGTTAGCAAAATGTGAGATGTGGCTTGAAATTTTCATGCCAAAACACACAAACTTATATACTAAACAAATAAGTCTAATAATACATGATTTCTAAAATTGGTGCACGAATTTTGTAACTAAAACATATAGTGTGCAATTGATGAATGAAAATTTTTTAACCAACACATGTCCCAAACTTCTGCACTCAAAAGTCAAAACTTTAATAAGAAAAAGCCATAACCCATATACCCACAAATTGAAACAAAAACAAAATCACACAAAGACCAAATTTTCAATTTTTCACAAGCACAAAAAGTAAGCGGGAAATCAATAAAGGAATAAAAAAACAAAAATTTTAGGGAAAAAGGGATACCTAGATGAAATTTTACATAGAAAAAGTGAACCTTACAATGAAGAAAGAAGAGAGAATCCGTGGTTGGTGCTTGAGGAAGGAGCAATTCGTGGTTGCCTGGTTGGTGAGTGAGAAAGGAGTGGTGAATCAGGAACCCGTGCCGTGGCTGGTGTGTGAAAAGCCTTGCGAAATGCGAGTTGCGATTTTTGCATATAAGTTCAGTTTATTAAAACCCATGGTGCATATAATCAGGAACCCTTGGCAAGTGGAAGTGGGCATTTTCGCATTTACAAATTGAAATCTTGTGTTGTGCCGTGCTTTTATTTTTTATTTTTAGTTAATTACAGTTAACCGAACTTCAACTTAATAAGTTCAATTTTTTAAAACTGAATTAGAAAATAATTTAATTCAATTTTATTTTAAATAGTTTTAGTTTTTTAGTTTAAAATAATTCAGTTATTTAATAGTTTAGTTTAATTTAGTTAATTTTACCCGACCCTACATGTAATGTCATCACAAAGTCCACTATAGCCTGCTGGTGGACCATGTATGCTCCAATCACTTGCGCATTGGTCTAACAAGTATGCGCTACATACCTTTTTGCTCACCCCACATTACTCGTCCATTTGCCCTTCCAGTAATCCACAATCGCCATTGACCTCTCCAACATGACTTCAACCACATCCAACCCTTCAACTGGCTTGCACTCTCCAACGCATGATGGTCAAATTCGCTAACCTCGCTACCAAAACAAACTCATCGGTTGACCTCCCTAACTCCAAAACAAACTCATCGGTTGACCTCCCTAATTCCCTGGGGCCACTCTCTATTTTTTTGACCTCCCTAACACATGGTCCAACAGACGTGCTTCTGTGAGTGGCTGAGGGTTGAACATAAACGACTCACCTAAGTTCTTTCCAATCACACTCAAAATCCCTCATGTCCCACCTTTTTAGAGCCACTTGACCCATAATTAACCCTCTAAATCAACCACCCTCGGGGAAACTCGACCACTTTCCCTTTGTCTCTATCACTCACACCACCCTTATCATCCAACACTATGGCTTATTCCTTTCACCAACCACATTTACTTTAACATCCTCCATTCTACCATCCTCCTGGACACCATCATCTGCATCCTTTATCTTTGTCCTACTATTGTCTCCTTATTAGTTTGTCCCCCACTAACACTCTCCACCTTCATTTTCTTGGACATTAGTGAGCTTGCTTGAGCTGCACTACTCCATCCCTATCTATCAACTCAACCTTTCTCAATGAATGCAACACAAAATGGCCTACCATCCTCGATGAACCCACCACCTTCTGTTTCCTCCTCCATACTCTAGGCCCTTGTCGTTGACCCATACTCTTCATCATCAACCCTAAACCCAACCTTCATATGCCTCCACACACTCTTCCCTATCAAATTTGTAGCAAAACACACCATATAACAATAAGCCAAACAAAAACACAATAATATTAACTTATTACAACACACATACTCACCCTGTATAGTCACCTCTAGACTACCAACACCCAACAACGCCAACACCACCTTCACATCCAATAGACGAGATAAATTCATCAACTATAAAAATGAAGTATCAAATCATCTTGGATTAATATAAAATTTTGTATATATAATCTAAGATATATGAACTTTCAATCTAACAGTTGGATTTACAAAATTCACATTTAATATAAAATTATTAAGAAGTGTAACACTTGGTAAAAGTTATACCAGTATAATTATAACCCTCCTCATATATATAAGAGCATGTGATAGTTAATAGGAGCATAATAACTTCATTATTCAAGAGAGAATTTGATTGGAACAAAGTTTTTTCATCCCAAAAATTTATGGTTATGATAAACTACAAACTTTGACAATCATTCATCATAATTCTTGAGAATATTATTTTGTTGTTTATATAATGATTTTAATGTTTAATTACAATATTACTTTGTTGACTCAATATTTTTTAGAAACATCCTTTAAAAATTAATTATTTTCTTTGTGAAATATAATTATGTCATAATCTAACATATAAAACAACATGTTTAAATTAAAATAACAAATCAATTTACAATAAATTAAAGTATAAAGTTTAATTTTCATAATAAAAAAGTTAAATTAATAATAAAATAATAATTAAATTTAAAATATAAGTAAACTAGAAAATAATAAAAATATATAACATTAATTTACTTAAATAATTTATTAAATTTAGAAATTAAAAATTGCAAAAAGAAATTAACAATACAATTTATAATTTATAAATTTTGCACAACCATTATAAGTTATAAATTTTAAATAAATATAAAATACAATTTCTTATCAAAATTATATGAAAATTATATGCGCCCTTCGCCGCCTTCGACCGCGACGCTTATTTCAACCCTCCCTCTCGTGGTCTCTTCGTTGGTCTCTCTCGTTTGTTCGCGCGCTTATGAGCTATCGGAAGACATTTTGGTGAAGCTGCGAATAGCATATTAATCAACTTCCAATTTATTAATTGTTGTAACAAGAATATTTTGTTGATTTATGGCATGAACTTCTGATTAGATTATAGTTAGAACTTCAATTCTATTGATCTAATGAGTTGTTCAATTGAATTTTGTGGCAGCATCTTCGAAGAAATTGCCACGTGGACCAGGACTTGCTCAAGAGGACCGATAGCTGACACATCTTTACATATGCTTTGGCTGGTAAAAAAATAATGTACTGTAAATAATTTATAACTTTATATTTAGAGTATAGCATCCTGTATCCTTACCTGGTGAAGTAACTTTCACAGGTTGCAGTTGCATGTGCTTCCTTTGGTCGAGTGTTGATTTGACTTACCAACAAATTTTGTCATGTAGATATCAGGCTCATTCTTTTGTAATAAGTGACATCTAATTCAATTTTATTAGCACTGCTAGTTTAATATTGTATAAATTTTTTAGGGCAGTGCTTTAACGTAGAAAATATTCAGGGCAACTTGTATTTATCGCTCATAGTTGTACAAATTCATTGAATCTGGCATATGCCATTCAATAATCTCTTAAATTCAGTTTTTGGTATCTCAAATTTAAATTATTTTTTTAATTTCTATAATTTTAAAAGGCCTATTTTTTTTTTTAAAAAATACTACTCTATTACTAATCTTGTATTTTTACCATTAAAGAGCTAAAAAATTATAGAGTAGATAAAGATAAATTGAGATATTTTCATTCTTCTTCCAAAGTTAAGAGTGTACATTATTTATAATCAATAGCTACAAGTAGTCCTACAATTATTATCATCTAATATTTAGGGAATTTAAAAATATAAATTGAATACATTATTTATAATCAATAGTTACAAGGTAATCCTACAACTATTATCATCTAATATTTAGGGAATGTAAAAATATAATTATATAATATTATAATATTATCTTATTAATTCACTTGGTTTATTTTTCTTCTCTTAGACTGTATGGCCCATCCCATTATCTTGTTTATTTCTCAGGTTACTAATAATATATAAAAAGATAAATTGAGATAATTATGTAATACCTTATATAGTAAGGGTCACTTGTTTTTACTGGATTAATTTTTGTTTAACATTATTTGACATGTTTATTAACAAAATTTTAATGTAATAATTAAAGTTTTATTTTAATTATTGTAAATAAAAACATTAATTTTAAATTTAAGGAAGAAACAAATTTGTCTAATTTTTATATTGCGTGATTCGTGTTTTTTTTTTTTCCCACTCTAATGCTTCACCATCTGATCTAGCTGTTTTCAAGTAATTTTTTTTTGGCCTATGAACCGAACATTTTGGAGAGTATTCTCAGCGGCAAATAATGGAAAAAGGAGGTGTTTGTCTTCTCCTAATTTATAATTCTTTGTTGGCTCTTTAGGATTTTTGATTTTTGAAAGGCCCAACTTATATCCTCTAGAAAGGATTAACTTTAGAAAACCCTTCGCCCTTCAGGGGCTTAATTGTCATCCGTTTCTTAAAATTTAAGGTTGATGATATATGCATCTCTTTTTTATTATTTTTTTTATAAGTATACCTCCTTTTATTTTTTTTTAATTTAAATATGTTTATTTTTAAAATTTTAATTTTACACTTTTAGCATTTAATTTTACATTTTTTTTTTCACACACCTTTCCTGTTTTTAGTTTTCATATGTATCTCATTGTCTTCTTTCACTCTCCACTTATTTATGTAGGTGTTTTTAATTCTTTTGGATTTTTATACTATTCTCTTCTCCTTTTAATTTTAACAATATTATCCTCTCATTTCTTTTTTTTTTAATTTTCACACATACACATGAGATTTAGAAATAACATTGACAACGTTATAGACGTGAGTGACAGGAAATTTTATAAGAATCAATCAATTTTATATTGCATGAATGTGCATTAAGACTTATGAAGTTGGGATTGCTATGCTCTAGTAAAAGATACCCAATTGTTTCTCATTTCATTTTTTGTTCTCTTTGTTTACCTTTCATAGGTTCTTCCTAGATGGGTTGTATACCATGAACTAGTACTCACAACCAAGGAATATATGAGACAGGTATTCCTAACTGTTAACTAAGTCAAATGTTTCATGACTTCTTGCAATGGATATCGGTCAATAGCTGAAATTGCATACTCAAATTGCAGGTGATAGAATTAAAGCCAGAGTGGTTGGTGGAAATTGCCCCCCACTATTACCAGCTTAAGGATGTTGAAGACTGTATGCTCTCTCTTTCTCTCTTAAATTGGCATTATATTTTTTTGCAAAGAGCCAACCGTTAAATTATAATATTTGAAATTTAAAGGTTGCATTTCATTTTTCATTCCGCCTATTGATGGGAATTTTTTTTTTCTTCTCTTTGGTTTAAGGAATTTGATGGCTATAATTATAAATCCTTTGACAACATCTTACTGATCCTTCTGCTCACTTGATAGAATTCAGAGAAAAGTAAAACAGATTAATTGGAGAACATTGTAGTAGGATTTGTTATTCTTTTGACTTACCTATCTTGTGTAACTTAATAATGGATAGTTAATTAAATAATTGTTATACATCCCTTTCATAATTAGTCCGCTTGTAAGCGTTATTGTTATACCATGAGTTATCTATTGAACATGTAAAATCAGTAAATTCAAATTTAACTCAATAAGTGGAAAAAAGTGCAGTTGTCATGAACTTCGCAAGCGAGCTATCGGAAGACATTTTGGTGAAGCTGGGAATAGCATATTGATAAACTTCCAATTTGTTAATTGTTGTAACAAGAATATTTTGTTGATTTATGGCATGAACTTCTGATTAGATTATAGTTTGTTAATTTTTGTTTTGCGCTGAAATTGTTTAAAGTTGAAGTTGTATATTTTTAAGTCTTCTTGAGCACCACAAATTAATGAGAAAAATACCTCAAGGTAATTGAGGAGATTATGGCTATATGACACGAGCATTATAGCAAGACTGTAGAAGAATCCATGATTTCCATTGTCTTCAAAAAAGAAAAAAAAAAGATAAAGTGAAGACAATACAGTGAGTATAATGAGAAGAAAAGAAAGAAAAAATACCTCAAGGTGAATATAGAGAGGTGAATATGTATCGAGTATAATGGCCAGAAAAAGAAGAAGAAGAAAGAATATAGGGTTTGAGTATAAAGAGAAGAAGAATAAGAAACAATCACTATAAGAAAAATCAGCATTATCTATGGAAGAAATCCGTAGATAATGCTGAAAATCCATAGGTAACTATTAATTACCCACGAATTATGATATATATTTATGTTTTTAAAAGTTATATGTAAAATTTTTAATACTACAAATATATCAATAAGTATTACCCCCACTTAGGGATGACAAATAAATCCGTACACGTGGGTAATACCCAGAAACAAGAGACCAAATAATAAATTCAAATGTGTTGATTGAAGCAAATAAAGTGTTATAGGTAGTTGCTCCATATGGTATTTGATGGTGTCTTTGTCTTAGAAGGAACGCATCTTTAAAGGAAAACCATTTATCTCTAAACTTTGTTTGTTTGGGATTTGTTTGATTCCTTGGTTGCTCTTTGGTGCTTAACACATGGCTTTGTTAAGGGAATTTTGTGCCTTAAATATGCACAAGGGATTAGAGTGCTATCTTTTATAATTGAATGGAAGATATTGAGTAAAATGGATATGGCAAGACTAAATAAAACTTTAGGAGAAACAATGGAAAATGACGTTAGTCTAAATGGACTATTGAAATTTTGGTTTTTGATATTGCCTGATGGTGTCATTTGCAAGGTAATCACATGTAATGAGATAAGGCTTGGTTATTTTTTATTCTTGTCTTATTTAAGGTCAAATTGCTGTTTATTGCTTGTGTAATGGCTTAAAGTTGAACACACTATGCCATGTCAGTTATAGTCCCACCCTTTTTTTGCAGAAAGGTTTCAAGGCAAGAATACTTGAAGAAAAGGGAGGAAAAGAAATTAGAAGAACTAAGGTATGATACAACTTTATTTTTTTTTTTTTTTTGTTTTCTCTAAGTTCTTTGTTTGATCTGATTTTTTGTCAATGAACATATTATAGTTTGATTTGATTACTATGCTGTTTGGTATGCTATTATATTTATACATATCTGTTCCTTAATTTATTGCTGAATTTAATACTTTATCGTGGTTACTGCAGAGATGATATAGAAGATGAGCAATATCTATTTGAAGGTGTAAAGCTTTCGGAAGTAGAATATCGTGAACTGAGGTAATCTATCTGTTCACTTGTTTCTTGAGTTCCCCTTATTCAATTTGCCTTTTGTTACCATATGAGACATTTTTTTTTTAAATTTTTTTATTAGTGATTGAATTATGTGAAGGAAATGCTACGCCCAACTTTGGTCACCACCACAGTCCTTCTATAGTAGCTTTTAAACTAAAGTCAAGCTGCTGATTTAGTTTTTTATTATTTTGTCTTGTTCAATCTGTTTGTTTTAGGAGTATATTTGTGAATTCTGTATTTGCAGATGGGAACTATAACCCTTCTATCATTATGCTATGTGTGGAGCCCCAATCCCAAATATCAAAGATGTAGCTTCTGTTTCTTTAGCCAGGAAAAGTTTTATTTGTTTTGTTTATATCCCGCAGGTACAAGAAAGAGATATATGAACTTGTGAAGAAGCGGTCTGAGGAGGCTGACAATGTAAATGAGGTATGGTAATCGATAAGTTTGTATTCCATGAGTGTGAAATCCTAATTGGTTTATGTATCAATTGTTAATTATTGTCAAAAGAAATTTTTTTATTTGTTAAGTTAAGCTGCTTGCCAGTTATTTCTTCCTTTTCTTTCTATTGATGATTACTAATTTATTGCCAAGACTTGAACTGTATAATGCAATCCTTCTTAGTTGCAATGGAAATTAGAGTAAAGATCTTTTATCTGACAGTATTTAATACTTTATGGATCTGGGCACTGACAAAGGGATTTGAGCATATGATAAGTTAAATTGATAGATCTATATATTTCTTATTCAATCTCTTACACATTCTCCTGAAATTGCAGTATAGAATGCCAGAAGCTTATGATCAGGAAGGTGTTGTTAATCAGGAGAAGAGATTTTCTGTGGCTATGCAGCGTTACAGGTGTTTTCACTTGATACATGATCTCCACTAGTTGTAAAAATATAAAAAGGAAAAGAAACTGGAATCACTATTAGAGTATAGGATTTTCTCTTCTTTTCTGTATTGATGTATTTTACTTTTTCCCCGTAACTGTTTCAGTTATAACTGAAAGTGACACCTTTATTTATCTTATCATGTAAGCTAGGTTTGTGTATCTTATTTTACACTCTTCTGCAACTTTATATAGTTGCTCTCTCCTTATATTTCATTCATAACAGAATATAATCAATAATATTTTCTTGTATTCTCTCTGAAATTTCTCTAATAATCACATATACACTATTAGTCTATTCTCATAATACCAGTTATCTTGTATTTCCTCAAAATTTTATCTTGTGATTGTGTTGTGCATAAATTTCCAAAAGCATTTTTACTTTCTTAGTCAAAATCTTTTATTTTGTTTATTCATAGAGATCCAAATGCTGAAGAAAAGATGAATCCATTTGCTGAACAAGAGGCCTGGGAGGAACATCAAATTGGTACACACTTTTATATTAGCATACTTGTATAAAATCTCTCATTGTTAAGAAAGAAGTTCATATTCTTTATCTGTAATGGTATATTTCTGGATTCTGAATAATATCTTTCAGGAAAGGCAACGCTAAAGTATGGTTCAAAAAATAAAAAACAAGTCTCTGATGATTATCAGTAAGTTTGTTCATCTAGAAACAACTGTTACTCAATGTTATGCATTGTAATCTGATTTTTTTACCTGATTATATGGCGTTAAAGTCTTGCTTATTGGATGGCATTTCACTATGCAAGTCTTAAGTTTGTATAATTTTATTCCTTAGATATAGTATAGGGTGTGATTCATCACCGCTATTTCTTTGAGTATACAGATAACTGATTTTAGGCTTGCTCACAATTTTTGTTTAGGTATGTTTTTGAGGACCAAATTGATTTTATCAAGGCATCAGTAATGGATGGCGACAAGGTATGTGGATGATTCAGCTTGACTGATGGGTTTTGATGGTGCTATTCTTCTGTTTGAGACAGTTTTTCTTTGCAGTTTGATTATGAAGAGATGGAAGATTCACTTGAAAAGTCCAGAGCAAAGTCAGCTTTGGAGGCACTACAGGTAGCATTTCAATATTTCACATATGGCTTTATTAGTTCCTACTTCCTAGCACAGGTTGACAGGCACTGAATTGTGTTTAGAAAATCTTTTAATTGTGTCACTAAACCATATTCTTCTGTTATTAAAAGAAAGTGAAACATATTCTTCTAGTTTTAATTAATGATTGAGGCTACAAAAAATACAAGTGAAAGACTAAGATGCTGTTACACATTATTAGATGGCAACTGGAAAAATAAATTGAGTCTGATATATATTGGTTAACGAATTAATTACAATAATCATGTCATTGACATCTTAATTCAATGAGAAAGGTATTAAGCTGAGGTGGGCTGTTAGTCATCCCTTTAAAGTTCAAGGGTTAAGGAATAAAAATTTCAATCTTCTGACAGGATTAATTTGTAAAAGCTGACTACAGTTCACTTTCTTTGTTGTCTTTTTTATAGGATGAGAGGAAAAAGTTGCCCATTCATCCTTATCGGGATGAATTGCTCCAAGCTGTTCAGGAGCACCAGGCATGGTTCCCCCTCTTCTCTCTCTATTATTATTTTTTTCTTTTTATTTTTTTTTTACTTTTTTATCCTGCTTTTCATTTTTGGTGTTCATTAATGAATTTTATCTCTGTTGTCAGGAAACTGTTCTGTATTTGTATTAACTGATTTCATTACCCTTTTATTACATTTTTTTGTATACAATTGTATGTTCATTCAAATTAACCTTCAACAATTTTCTTATATATAGGTACTTATAATTGTTGGTGAAACTGGTTCAGGGAAGACGACACAGATCCCCCAATATCTTCATGAAGCTGGCTTTACAAAACATGGAATGGTAAGATTTAATTTATGTGATTTCATTAGGTTAATTTCATTTGAAAAGCTTATTTAAGGCTTCCATTATATTTATTTTTATTTTACAATGTGCAAATATTGTGAAGGCATGCTACTTTGTTAATGTTTTGTTTCATGCTGTTCTGGTTTATAAATTGTGGAAGTAGGTACTTGTTTGTTTTTAAATGTGTTATTTTAGGTCCTAAAAAACATTTTAAGTACCGTGAGTGTGGATATGGTTTAAGAATTTAATCATGATTGAGTTGTTCTGCTGTGAATGTGATAGATATTGGAAGGTGTACAGTAGGAGAAATAGGCAGAAAGGAGAGGATTAAAAGTGTAACTGAATAATAGATTGTATTGGTAGTAAAGGGGCAAATATAAATAGGAGATAGGGGGTCAATTAAGGGGGGCTTTTTAGACAATTCATTGTTTGTGGAGAGTCAGGTCTCTCGAATACCTGAATTTTGGTTTATAGCAATAAAGTGCATAGTACAATGTTTGCTTTCTCTTCTATTATTCCTGAACCAGTTCTATCAACTGGTATCAGAGCTCCGATCTCGGAGTAGTGGGTATCACATTTTAGGGGACTGATGGCATCAACAAGAATGGAATCCAGATTCTAGAATCGATAGTCTAGAGAAAGCAATGGCGAGTTTGAGTCGGAATCAAGAAAGCATGGAAGAACGCTTTGCACAGCAAGAACGGCATGAAGAACAACGAGATGAAAGGCTGAAAAAGATGGAATGCATGATCGAAAGGTTAGTTTCAAGACTGGGTGAAAATCCGATTGGGGAAGACAAAGGGAAAAATCAAAATTCTGGAATAGAAGTTGAGTCAATGGGGGAAAATACAAGTGAAACAATAGCGGGAGACAAATGGGGGTATTAGAATTGTGAGAGAGAAAGAGAGAGAGAACGGAAGAGAGAAGATGAGAGAATGCTTCAATAAGCAAAATATGTTTTCACTACGACACAATGAATACAAGATGAGTTTATATAGAGCCAATCAATGTTGGTCTATAATAAAGACAATAAATGTGATAGTAAAGAAAAAGATAAAGCATAATCTACATTACTATTCTACATATATAAGTAAGGAGTAAAACTATACTCCAATAGCCCCCCGCAAGCTCAAGTAGGATGAGTTGACTCGACTACTTGAAGCTTGGACCAAAGAACACAGAACTGTGCCGAAGATAGAGCTTTTGTGAGAACATCAACACATTGATCTATGGTTGGAACGTGCACAACTTGAAGATGCTTGGCAGCTACCTTTTCTCGAACAAAGAACATATCTAATTCCATGTGCTTGGTGCATGCATGAAGAACAGGATTGTGAGCAAGGGCCACTGTGCTTAAGTTGTCACAGAAAATGATTGGAGGTGAATGACAAACTTTAAGTTCAGAGAGCAAGGTTTGTATCCAAGTAACTTCAGCTATGGCAAGAGCAAGGCTTCTATATTCTGCTTCAGTGCTGGAACGAGCAACAACAGATTGCTTTTTGGACCACCAGGACACAAGATTTGGTCCAAGAAATATAGAGGCTCCTGACATAGATCTTCTATCATCAGGGTCAGACGCCCAGTCTGCATCACAGTAGGCGTGAATGGATAAAGGAGAGTTGGATGGAGCTAGCTGCAAATGGAGACCCCAAGAGGTAGTGCCCTTTAGATAGCGGAGAATATGTTTAACAACTGACCAATGACGTGCAAGAGGATGAGACATAAATTGACATTACTGAGAAGCTAATCTCGGGTCTTGTTATTGTAGCATATTGTAAGGCACCAACGACTGAACAGTAGAGAGACGCATCTAGAAAATCTTCGGTGCCAACTTTTGAAAGTTTGCAGCCACTAACCATTGGAGAGGAAATAGGTTTGGAGGCTTCCATATCTGTGCGGTTTAAGAGATCCTAGATATACTTGCTTTGAGTGAGGATGAGAGAGCCATCAGATTGTGCTTTTACTTCAATACCTAGAAAGTAATCAAGATCACCAAGATCTTTAAGGGAAAAGGTTGAGTGAAGTTGAGAAACAAGTGTATGAAGAAGTGTTGAATTGTTTTCAGTGATGATAATGTCATCTACATATACCAAGATAGATGACATTGTTGGCATGAGAGTAGACGAACAATGATGGATCACACTTGCTTGCTTGAAAGTTAAATTGTAGAAGAGTCAATTTTAACTTTTCAAACCAAGCACGGGGTGCTTGTTTGAGTCCATAGATGGCTTTGTGCAGTTTACAAACAAATTTTTTATCAGAGGTTTCAAATCCTGGGGGTTGAGTCATATATACTTCTTCATCAAGGGTGCCATTTAAAAAAGCATTATTGATGTCTAGTTGTTGAAGAGGCCAATGATGGGTTAAGGCAAGAGTAAGGATAAGGCGAAGAGTGACAGGTTTGATGACAGGTGCGAAGGTTTCATTATAGTCAAATCCAAATTGTTGATTGAACCCCTTAGCTACAAGATGGGCTTTGTATTTTTGGACAGTGCCATCAGGATTTTCTTTGACACGAAAGACCCATTTACAGCCTATGGCTGTTCTGCTTGGGGGTAGACGAACAAGAGACCATGTGCCATTCCTAAGTAGGGCGTTGTATTCTATCTGCATTGCAGCAGACCATGTTGAATTGGATAAGGCTTGTTTGAATGTTTTGGGTTCAACATGGGTTAATAGAAGTGTGGGTTGAAGACGGGGTTTGACAATGCCATCTTTTGCTCTTGTTGTCATAGGGTGAACATTGGAAGGATGGATGAATGGTTGTGTATTAGATTCAGGAACAGGTGAGCATGGGGACTGATAAAATGGTTGGAGAGAGGTACCTGTGGGAGAGGTTCTAGATGACATATTTGGTGAGGTTGTAGGAGGGTAAGGCTCGGCTTTCATAGTGGGTGGCATTTGATTAGTGGGAATAGAGCTGGATTCATGTGAGGGCATTGGAGAGGAGTAGGGTGTAGAGGTTTGAGTGTGGGTCACAGTAAGAGGAACCTGAATCAAGCTTTGAGAAGCATGGTTAGTGGTCGGAGAAAAGAGATCCTGGTAGGGAAATTTAGTTTCATTAAATATAACATCTTTAGAGACATAGAGATGCCTATCAGTGGCAAGGCACTTGTAGCCTTTGTGAGAAGTTGAGTACCCCAGAAAAACACATTCTTGTGATCGAAATTAGAGTTTGTTGTGGTTGTAAGGTCGAAGATGTGGAAAACAAGAGCAGCCAAAGACTTTGAGAAAGTGATAATCCGGGTTTTGGTGGAAAAGTTTGGAATAGGGAACCGCATTTTGAATAGAGGAAGAGGGAAGTCGATTGATTAGATAAACGCTAGTGAGGAAGTCATGATCCCAGAATTCCATAGGAAAATTAGCTTGGGCTAACAGAGTGAGGCCAAGTTCAACAATGTGCCTATGCTTTCGTTCGACAACCCCATTTTGATGATGGGTGTGAGGGCATATGAGACGATGTTGAATTCCAACATCATTGAGATACGCTGTAAAGGGGCGAAATTCACCACCTCAATCCATTTGTAAGGCTTTGATCGGTTGGTTGTATTGATTCTTAACCATAATATGAAACTACTTAAAAATGTTAAGAGTTTGGGATTTGTTTTTGAAAAGATAGATCCATGTAAAGCGTGTGTGAGCATCAACAAAGGTGAGATGATATTGATAGCCACATGTAGACGTGGGTGTAGGTCGGTCCCCATAAATCACTGAAAATTAGTTCAAAAGGTGTGGTGTAAACAGTTTTGGACAGACTTGAGGGTAATCTATGAGATTTACCAAGACAATAAGAAGCACAAAAATCTAAATCAATATTGTTTACAGATTGAATGTTGAAGTTGTGGAACACAAGTTTCATTACATCAGCATTAGGATGACCTAATCTAGAATGCCAAGTGGCAAAAGAAACAGATTTGTGGCTGGCAGTGTTAATAGAGGGAGATGTAGCAGTTTGAAAACACTAGGCAGGTTGTTTGCTGGTGGGGGGAAGCAAGGTAGGAAATTGATACAGACCATCCGGACCAACCGAGTCTTGGAGAAGGATTTCTTAGTATCCTGTGATTTTACCAAGCAAATGGAAGGGTGAAATTCAAAAGAGACAGAATTGTCTTTGGAAAATTGACTTACACTGATTAGGTTTTTGGTAATGGAGGGGACAAACAGTAGATTGTTGAGAGCAAAATGAAAATTAGGATTTGTCGGGGAGAGAAAAGTAGTGACACATGTAGAATTAATATGAAGACCTTGTCTATTACCAACGTGGATTTGATCCGTTCGTTCAAAAGAAGTAAACTGTTGAATATTTTGAGAGACATTGGTCACATGGTTTGAAGCCCCAGAGTCTGGATATCAAGTGTTGTTACCTGAGGAGGAAGATGAGGCAATCATGGCTCGAGGTTGAGTATGTGAGGAGCCTAAGTGAACCTCTGGGGGGGGTTGTGGTCTAGGGCCAAGAATGCCGTGTTGGTGAGGTGAAGGGTGAGCATGTTGGTGGGCTTGAACAGTTTGACTATTGTACCAAGAAGTCGCATCAGTATTGTTAGTGGAGGGGAACGTGGGTGCATTCAGTGGGGAGGTTGGGACAAAAGTCTCATCAAATCTATAGTAGCAAGAAGAAGCAACATGTCCATAGCGATGGCAGACCTGACATTGAAATCCAGCAAATCTGCCTCGTCCACGACTAGCACGGTTAGAAAACCGTCCACCACAAAAATTTGCGTGACCCCCACGATGTTGCGCAAATTGAGGTCGAGGTTCTTGGTGAGCAAGATTTGCTTGTGGGAGCGAGAAGGAGGGATCAGGGTTGGGGGTAGTAACATTGATAAATGCAGCAACTTCCTTTTTAAATTTGTAAAGACAAGATTCATGGCCAAGAAGCAAGGTTTCAACTTCGTCTATGGACAACATGTCAAAGCGACTGCTAATGAGTGAGACGGTGAATTCATACTCTTCTGGTAAGCCTTCAAGAATGATGTCAAGATGCTCTTTTGCAGAAACTGAATCACCAATGGCAGTTAGAGCATCAACAAGAGTTTGAATTAGGAGAACATAGTTGGAGATAGTCTGGTTGTCAAGATTAGTGCTGCGTAGTTCATTGCGTAGTTGCTGCGCTTTGGCATTCATGTGAGTATGGAAGTAGGAATGTATTTTGTCCCATAATTGACAGGACGTCTTGCAACCGATGACCCTAGTAAGCGTGTCTTTAGACATGGAAGATTGGAGCCAAGATAGCAATAGTTGGTCTTGCTGTTCCCAGGCAAGATAGGACTCAGATATCTGCCCAGAATCACGATCAGTGATAGAGAGGTACTTTTGGGGAATTTGTGGGTTAACAAGAAAATGATGGAGTCTGTGGCCTTTGATAACTGGTTCGACTTGCTGGCACCAGAGAAGATAATTCTTGGTGTCCAGTTTTTCTGAGATGGTGTGGGAAAAGGTAAGAGACGGAGGGGGATTAGTGGGAGGGTTCTTTGAGGGGATGGTATTGAGGGGTGTAGCGTTGATGGGTGGAGGAGGGGGCGGCGGTGGGGGAGAAGAAACCACTAGGGGAGTTGATTCAGCCATGACAAGATTGTCGTGAAGAACAGAGAAGAGAAAGGGGAAAGAGGATCGAGTAGCTCTATGATACCATATTAGAATTGTGAGAGAGAAAGAGAGAGAGAACGGAAGAAAGAAGATGAGAGAATGTTTCAATAAGCAAAATATGTTTTCACTACAGCACAATGAATACAAGATGAGTTTATATAGAGCCAATCAACGTTGGTCTATAATAAAGACAATAAATGTGATAGTAAAGAAAAAGATAAAGCATAATCTACATTACTATTCTACATATATAAGTAAGGAGTAAAACTATACTCCAACAGGCGGAAATTAGAAATCCCAATCTTTGAGGGTGAGGACGCCTATGGGTGGATAAGCAAAGTGAAATGATATTTTCGATTAAGAGGAGTGACCGAGACCGAGAAGATGCAAGCAGTGATGGTGGCCTTAGAAAGAGATGCTCTTGGGTGGTTTCATTGGTGGGAGATGTGCAATGAGAAGCCGTCGTGGGAAAGATTCAAGATAGCCGTAATTCAGTGATTCCAACCAACAATGACACGAAGTCCTTTCGAATTGTTGCTTTGTTTGAAACAAGAAGAATCAGTCAATGAGTTTACTAAGCAATTCAAGAAATATGCAGGGGCGATGAAAGGATTAGAAGAGACATTTGATGGATGTATTCCTAAATGGGTTGAAGGAGGAAATTAGTGCGGAGATGAAATTGTATGAGCCAAGAAACCTATCAGAGATGATGTGTAAAGCCAAGAAGATTGAGGAGAAAAATGCGGCCATGACACGGGTAGGTGGTTATTCATGGGGGCGATCAATGGAGCAGTACAAGGGGTTCTCTCATAGTCGGCCTAGTAGAGAATGGAGTTCGGTTGTTACTAAACCTGCTAGTAGGGAGTGGACTTCAAAAGTTACTAAACCATTTGAGATGGGTAATAAAGGATCACAAGCATCCTCCAAAGCGAGTAATCACATGGACAACCGGGCAACAAGGGAGAAACCAAGATTTAAAAGATTGACCAATGCAGAGATGAAGGAAAAAGTGAGAAAAGGGGAATGTTTCAGGTGTGAGGAGAAATTTGGGCCTAATCACATGCAAAAATAAACAATTTAATGTAATGGTATTAGGGGAATTCAAGGCAAATGATGAGGAAGAGGAGGAAGAATTAGAGCTGGAGGTAAATCCCAAAACCCAACTATCTATGCATAGTATAGTGGGGTTAACGTCTAGGAGATCTCTCAAGGTGTGGGGGCAAATAGGAGGAGCCAGAGTAGTGGTTCTGGTGGATTGTGGAGCTACTCATAACTTCATTTCCAAGGAGTTGGTGGACAGATTAACTAAATTTGCACATTTTATAGCCCTTGGTCACCCATTTACAACAAAGGAGGTAGCTGAATTGTTCTTGAAGGAGGTGGTCAGGTTACACGGTTTTCCCTCCTCTATAGTTTCTGACCGAGATCAAATATGCATGAGTCAGTTTTGGAAGGAATTATTCCGACAAGCAGGAACCCACCTCAAGTTAAGATCAGCTTACCATCCGCAAACGGATGGCCAAACAGAAGTGGTAAATCGTTGTTTAGAAACCTACTTGCGTTGTCTTACTAGTACAAAGCCGAAGCAATGGCCATCACATCTAGCTTGGGCAGAATTTTGGTTTAACACCAATTACAATGCCTCTACCAAAATGTCACCTTTCAAAGCTTTGTATGGGGGAGATCCTCCAATATTGCTGAAAGGTACTACCATTCCTTCAAAGGTGGAAGAGGTGAATCAATTAGTTTGCCAATGTGATGAGTTGTTGGTAGAATTGCGAAGTAATCTTTTGAAAGCCCAAGATCAAATGGGAGCCCATGCTAATAAGCATAGGAAGGATGTGGAGTATCAAGAGGGTGAGTGGGTATACCTCAAATTGTAACCTTATAGGATGAAATCCTTAGCCAAACGACCAAATGAGAAACTTCGACCATGTTTTTATGGTCCTTATCAAATCATGCAAAGGATTGGTGTTGTGGCTTATAAGCTTGATTTACCAGCCAACAGTAAACTTCATCTGGTATTTCATGTTTCACAATTAAAGAAGGCTATTGGAGATTAGCAACAGCCTCAACCCTTACCGAAAGTTTTGACTGACACTTTTGGGAGTTACAGGTGCAACTAGATGCTGTTTTAAATACTCGGAGTAATGAGGCAGGTCAAGTGGAGGTCCTGATCAAGTGGCAGCAACTCCCTGATTGTGAGTGTTAGCAACTCCCTGATCAAGTGGAATTGTAATATCTCAAAGAAAGTATGCATTGGATATTTTAGAGGAAAGTGGGTTAATGAGTTCCAAGCCCGTTGATACACCTATGGATCCCAATGCTAAACTTCTACTAAGTTAGGGGGAGCCTTTCTCAGATCCTGAGAGGTATAGAAGATTGGTTGGGAAATTGAATTATGTCACAGTAACTCGTCTTGACATCTCTTTTTCGGTTAGTGTGGTGAGTCAATTTCTCAATTCTCCATGTGCAGGACATTGGAATGTAGTCATTCGCATTTTGAAGTATATCAAAGGTGCTCCAGGAAAAAGGTTTATTATATGGCTACAACAATCATACCCAAGTTGTGCGTTACTCAGATGCAGATTGGGTAGGCTCTCCCTCTGATAGGAGATCCACCTCAGGTTATTGTGGCTTTATCGGTGATAACTTGATTTCTTGGAAAAGTAAGAAGCAGAATGTAGTGGCAAGATCTAGTGCAGAAGCAGAATATCGTGCTATGGCCTCTGCTACATGTGAGCTTATTTGGCTCAAACAGTTACTTAAAGAACTGAGATTTGGCAAAGTTACACAGATGACTCTCATATGTGATAACCAAGCTGCCCTTCATATTGCCTCAAATCCAGTATTTCACAAGAGGACCAAACACATTGATATAAATTGTCACTTCATTCGTGAGAAGATTTTATCTAGGGACATTACTACTTAGTTTGTTAACTCTACTAATCAGTTGGCAGATGTCTTCACCAAATCATTACGAGGTCCTAGGATTGATTATATTTGTAACAAGCTTGGTGCATATGATCTATATACACCAGCTTGAGGGAGAGTGTTAGATATAGTTTTATCTTATGGGCCTAGGCCTACTACTTTGTATATAAACACATCTTTTTCTTTGCAATACACAAGGAATATGTTCTCTCCATTAACCATTACTCTCAATAGTGAGAATAGTTGGGAATTAGCTACGGACATTCAGGAAATGTTTCCTTTATTCCACCTTCAGGACAAGGTGGATATTGCAGGAGGGGGTATTGATAGATATCGGAAGGTGTATAGTAGGAGAAATAGGCAGAAAGGAAAGGATAAAAAGTGTAACTGAATAATAGATTGTATTGGTAGTAAAGGGGCAAATATAAATAGGAGATAGGGGGTCAATTAAGGGGGGCTTTTTAGACAATTCATTGTTTGTGGAGAGTCAGGTCTCTCGAATACCTGAATTTTGGTTTACAGCAATAAAGTGCATAGTACAATGTTTCCTTTCTCTTCTGTTATTCCTGAACCAGTTCTATCATAATGCTTGTAACTTTTGGCATCCTACAAATTTATTCTATTCTCAATAGGTTTTGGAAATGAACTAATCTAAGGTGGTTACATTTGTTTGCAGATCGCATGTACTCAGCCACGGCGAGTTGCTGCAATGAGTGTTGCAGCTCGAGTTTCTCAAGAAATGGGTGTTAAACTAGGGCATGAGGTAGACTGTCTTCATTATTAAATATTATAACATAGATTTCTCGTTCTTAGAAAATGAATATGTTTATGTACATTATATTGTAAATATTATTTTTTTAGTATGTAATTTGATTATACATATCTCTCTCTTTCGCATCATGTCTCCGTCTTTCAAATATTTATTTCAACTTCCAAAAATTTGTAGGTTGGATACTCAATCCGTTTCGAAGATTGTACATCAGAGAAAACTATTCTGAAATATATGACAGATGGAATGTTACTGAGGGAATTCCTTGGTGAACCTGATCTGGCAAGTTATAGGTGAGCTAAGCTTGTATAAGATTCATATTTGGGGTTTAGTTGGATGCTATATGATTGTTCTCTTGTTATGTTTGCAATTATTGCAGTGTTGTGATGGTGGATGAGGCTCACGAAAGAACACTCTCAACTGATATTCTGTTTGGATTAGTAAAGGTGAGCCGAAAATTCTTGTGATAGAACTGAATGTCTGCCTTATTTATAATTCTAGCAGGCTGAGACAACTAGTCCTTGAACAATCTGCATTTTGATTGTGATATTCATGACCCTTTGGGATATATTTGATTGCATATATTCTTTTGTTCAATATTGTTTTACATTCATTTTTGTTTGGTTACTGGTCAATCTGTAACTCACCAATGCATGGTTTTTGCTCATATTTGGATTTATTTGAGGTTAAATGTATAAACAATTTTATTGTAGTTATTCGTTATAATATCCTCCTGTACTTATATATTGTGTTTATGTGATAGGATATTGCTCGTTTCCGGCCTGATCTCAAGTTGCTAATATCAAGTGCTACACTTGATGCCGAGAAATTCAGTGATTACTTTGATTCTGCACCAATATTCAAAATTCCAGGGAGACGATATCCTGTTGAGATAAACTTTACAAAAGCTCCAGAGGCTGACTACTTAGATGCAGCTATTGTCACCTCACTTCAAATCCATGTCACTCAACCTCCTGGAGATATATTGGTTTTCCTTACTGGTCAAGAAGAAATTGAAACGGCTGAAGAAAACTTGAAGCAGCGAACTAGAGGCTTGGGGACTAAAATTGCCGAGTTAATAATATGCCCTATATATGCCAACCTACCAACTGAACTACAAGCTAAAATATTTGAACCCACTCCTGAAGGAGCCCGAAAGATTGTACTTGCTACTAATATTGCAGAAGCATCATTGACAATTGATGGGATCAAGTATGTCATTGATCCTGGATTTTGTAAGATGAAAAGTTATAACCCGAGAACAGGAATGGAGTCTTTGCTAATAACTCCTATCTCAAAAGCTTCAGCAATGCAAAGAGCTGGTCGTTCTGGAAGAACTGGTCCAGGAAAGTGCTTTAGATTATATACTGCATACAATTTTCAAAATGATTTGGATGATAACACTGTGCCAGAAATACAGCGGTCTAATCTCGCCAGTGTTGTATTGTCTTTAAAAAGTCTTGGTATTCATGACTTGATGCATTTTGATTTCATGGATCCTCCACCTTCTGAGGCCTTATTGAAAGCTCTGGAGCTTCTATTTGCATTAAGTGCACTAAATAAGCTTGGGGAGTTAACTAAAGTGGGTAGACGGATGGCAGAGTTCCCACTTGATCCTATGTTGTCAAAAATGATAGTGGCTTCAGAAAAGTACAAATGTTCAGACGATATCATTTCTATTGCTGCTATGCTTTCTGTTGGAAACTCAATATTTTACCGTCCAAAGGATAAGCAAGTGCATGCAGACAATGCATGGATGAATTTTCACACTGGAAATGTGGGAGACCATATTGCATTGCTAAAGGTTCTATTGCTTATGACTTTTTCTTTATTTTGGCTCTTATCAACTCATGTATATCCTTTTTTCCTTTCTGTGAAATGTAAGACACTATTGTTGAGTTCATTATAAATTGAATATTTGTTCTGTATTTAATTTTTCTTCTAAGTGAGACATGGCCAGATTATCATTGGCATGCACATTTGTCAAATTGTAATCTGTTTTAGATTTTAGCCGGACCTTATTGATTTATTTTTTTTCTGTTCAGGTCTACAATTCATGGAAGGAGACCAATTTTTCAACACAATGGTGTTATGAAAATTATATACAGGTATATATGAATCTTTGTTTTGCAAGTCAATATTTGTCACATCTATATTTAGTGTACGTGCTATAGAGTACACATCTGTGGCTTGTTACATAAAATAATTAGTGATTACAAGAGTCGAGAAAATTATAAGAAGTGAGGAGAGAAAGTATTGGTGTAATTGTTTCGAAAATGTTAATTGATTTTGCTATTTTTAAATTTAATTTAGTTAATTTTGTTTTCTTGTATATAAATAAATCCCTGGAATTATCAATCTAGCATATTCAGAAAATGAGATCTTTGTTTCTCTCTTTTAACAATAGTCTTGGAACATTTTTGACAATCTGAGGAGTGGTAATATTTATTTTGGCCCTAGAAATCTGCCTTCATTTTCTCCTAAACTGATATATGGTGTTTTAATTGTAAATTATTATGGTGCTATGTGTTAAGATATTGTGGAGACTTATTAGGTTAATCATATCTTAGTTAATCATATCATATCATGTCAATTCTTATTTTTCATTATAAATAAGATTATGGGTGCTGAAGATTCACACACAATTCTAAATCACAATATGGTAACTAGAGTAATTTTTTTTTTCATCATGTGAATAGTACTGTGTGTGAATAGTGCTATGCGTGAACAGAGTGACACACCTAAATAGTACATGTGCTTGACATCATTTTTCAACTACCCCTCAATTGTGGTTGACTGCCTTTGACGACCCTTTTTGGCTTTTTTTGGCCTCTGCTTGACCCTGTTTGGTTTCAATCACTCTCTGCCTCATGTAAATTCTTATTTTTCATTATAAATAAGTTACTTGAATGTTAGGATAATTTGAAAGAAGTGTGTCAGCACACTTCATTGCTTCATTCTAGATATATAAGATTGAGTACACAAATATACATCATAGGCTGAAAAGGCTAAGAGCCTAAGACTACACAACAGGTATACAAAAAGAAATAATAAAAAATTTAGAGGCTTCTCTAATAAGCTATTCTAACACTCCCCCATAAGCTGGAGCATACAAATTGTATGTACCAAGCTTGGAACATAAAAATTGAATGAGAGGCCCCCTCAATGACTTAGTCATAACATCTGCAAGTTGTTCATTGGATGTGACAAATTGAGTAACAATTTCCTTCGATAGTAGCTTCTCTCTAACAAAATGACAGTCAACTTCTATATGTTTAGTTCTCTCATGAAATACTGGATTGGAGGCAATGTGGAGTGCAGCCTGATTATCACAATATAATTTCATTGGATGACCTTCACAAAATTTTAACTCTTGAAGAAGTTGCTTAATCCACATAATTTCAAGGTAATTAAGGCCATAGCATGATATTCAGCCTCAGCACTGGATTTAGCAACACCATTTTGCTTTTTTACTTTTCCAATATATGAGATTTCCACCTAGGCAGTAGTGGTCTATAGGACAACCAACCCAATCAGCATCACAATAGTTGTCCTGCTGCTTTTTTGATATATCTAAGGATACGTAAAACAACATTCCAATGATCATGTTACAGATAGTGTGAATATATTACAGATATTGTGGATACATATATTATGGTTATTATCCTCACTATCAATTAGGGATATGATTAGATTAGTTTCCATAATATTAGAGATTAGTATCTCTATCATTTATTGTATTCACTCTATAAATAAGATTGGTATGTGTACAACAATACACAATTCCTGAATTACAACATGGTATCTAGAGCTTAGGTTTTTCTTTTAGAATATATTTTTCTCTTTTCTTGCAAAGGCCCTTGCTGCCCCCTCCGGCTGCCGCTGGTTGCCTTGCCGCGGCTACCGCCTTCGATCGCTGCGCCGCCGACCACTGCTTTCGGTCGCCCACTCTGATCGTCTCGACCACTGCGCCGGCAGCTACCACCTCGGGTCGTCACACCGCCGACCACCACCTCTGGTCATCGCACCGCCGACCACCACCTCCGATTGCTACCTCTGACTGCAACCTCCGGTCGTCGTGCTGCCAGTTGCCGCGCCACCGATTGTCGCCTCTGGTCGCTGTCTTCAATTGTCGCCTCTGACTGCCACCTTGGGTCGTCACACCGCCGCCATTGGTCGCTTCCTGTCGCTGCCTCCAACTGTCGCTTCCGATTGCCACCTCTGACTGCCACTTCCGGTCGCCAACTCCGACCGCTGCCTCCGGTCATCGCCTCCAGTCGCCAACTCCGACCGTCGCTTCTGATCGTCGACTCCGATCGCCACTTCCGATTGCTGCTTCTGGTCGTCGACTCCGACTGCCGCTTCCAGTCGCCACTTACAACCGCTTTCAGTCGCAGACTTCAACCGTCGCTTCAGGTGGCTGTTGCCTCCGATTGTCGCTTCCGGTCGCTACCTCCGATCGCCGCCTCTAGTTGCTGCCTCCGGTGACCAGTTAGCATATATGTTCACAAAATCGCTTAAAGAACCTTGGATTAATTACATTTGTAACAAGCTTGGTGCATATGATATATATGCTCCAGCTTGAGGGAGAGTGTTACAGATAGCGTGAATATATTACAGATATTGTGGATACATATATTATGGTTATTATCCTCACTATCAATTAGGGATATGATTAGATTAGTTTCCATAATATTAGAGATTAGTATCTCTATCATTTATTGTATTCATTCTATAAATAAGATTGGTATGTGTACAACAATACACACAATTCCTGAATTACAACAGATCAATATGAGGGGCCTGCATGAATTGACTAGCAATCCCTACTGCAAAAGAAAGATCAGGTCTTGTGATTGTGAGATAAATAAGCTTCCCAACCAATCTTTTATACCTATCTGGGTCTGTGAATGGTTCACATTGATCAGCTATCAACTTTTGGTTAGGATCCATAGGACTATCAATGGGCTTGCAATCCAACATTCCAGTTTCCTTCAAGATATCAATAACATATTTCCTTTGTGAAATTACAATGCCCTCCTTTGATTGAGCAACTTCAATGCCCAAAAAATATTTCAATTGCCCAAGGTCTTTGGTCTGAAAATGACTAAACAAGTGTTTCTTCAATTGAGATTGTAGCTTCATCATTCCCTGTAATCACTATGTCATCAACATAAACAATCAGATAAACACACCTCCAATGTGAGGTGTGACAATAGAACACGGAGTGATTTGCTTCACTTCTTTTCAACCCAAAATTCTGCACCACGTAACTAAATTTTCCAAACCAAGCTCGAGGAGATTGTTTGAGACCATAAAGAGATCTTCGTAATTTGCAAACTAAACCAGACTCCCCCTGAGCAACAAACCCAGGAGGTTGCTCCATGTAAATCTCCTCCTCCAACTCCCCATGAAGAAATGCATTTTTAATATCTAATTGGTGAAGAGGCCAATGCTGAATAGCTGCCATAGCAAGGGAGAGATGAATTGTAGGGATTTTGGCCATGGGAGAAAAGGTATCACCATAATCTAGGCATAAATTTGAGTGTATCCCTTGGCCACCAATCGAGTTTGAGTCAGTCAACTGTACCATCAAACCTAACTTTAATGGCATAGACCCATCTACAACCAACTGGTTGTTTACCAGGAGGAAGTGGAACTAACTCCCATCATGTACCACTATGTTTAAGAGCTTGCATTTCAGCAATCATAGCTTGTCGCCATCTAGGATGATCAAGTGCCTCATAGACATTTTTAGGAATAGTTAAAAGAGATATAGAGGAGACAAAAGAACAATATAAGGGAGATAATCGATGATAACTCAAAAAATTATAAATAGGATGAGGATTTCGAGTGGAACGAATACCTTTGCGAAGGGCAATTGGCCAGCTTGAACTACCATCACTAGGACCCGTAGTATGGGGGCTTAATGGTGAAGGAGATGAAATTGGTGGTTCTTCAGGTAGTGTCAAATCAATTTGTCGAGTTCGACGCTGATATGTGAGAAGAGGAGATGTAGTATTAGGAATGGGTCTATTTGTGGACAAGGTGGGTTGAGTAACCTCTTGATTAGGGGCTAAAGGTTGAAGTGGTATGGACAGATGAGAAGAGACAGGTAGAACCTATTGGATTGTCACAAAATCATTTGTAGAGAATAGGAAAAAAGGAGTTTGTCCAAAGAAGGTGATATCAGCAGACATGTAAATTTTTTTGGTCTTTTGAGAGTAACACTTTTGTATCCTTTTTGGAGACGAGAATAGCCTAGAAAAACACATTTGATAGCTCTAGCTGATAACTTATCCAAACCAGGGGAGACATCATGGACAAAACATGTACACCCAAAGACTCTAGGTGAGACATGAAACAAGGGTTCCTTTGGAAAGATGATCGAGTAAGGAATTTTATTCTCAAGAGAAAAAGATGACATTATAATAAACAGGCTGTAAGAATTGCATCATCCCAATGATGTACAGGAACATTTGCATTGAGCATCAGGGTGCGTGCAGTCTTTACAAGGTGTCTATTTTTTCTTTCTGCTATTCCATTTTGTTGGGGTGTGTGCGGACATGTAGACTGATGTAAAACACCGTGTGAGGATAAAAAGGAAGATAATTCAAAGGAGAAATATTCTTTGGCATTGTCACTTTTAAAAATTTTGATTGTTTTTCCAAACTGGTTCTGAATTTCATTAAAGAAAGAAACAAATATGGACAAAAGTTCATAACGGTCTTTCATTAAGTACACCCAAGTACATCGAGAAAATTCATCAATAAAGGTTACAAAATATCTTAAACCAAACGATGTTACACGGCTTGGATCCCAAATGTCAGAGTGAATGGTAGTAAAAACCGAGTTACATCTTTTTTTAGTTTGTTTGGGAAAGGATGATCTAACATGTTTGCCTAGTTGACGTGACTCAACCTAACTCCTTTTTGAGATTAGGAACCAAGAGTTTCAACTTGGAGAAACTTGGATGACCCAAACGATCATGCAAAAGCTTGGGTGGCAAAACAGCAACACAAGATGCAGATGGTTGCATTCCAAAATAGTAGAGACCACCAAATTCATGTCCTATGCCAATCATCCTGCCTGTACCACATTCTTAAATAACACAAGATTCAGCATTAAAAGTTACTGAACACTTTAGGAATTTAGTTAATTGACTCAGAGAGATTAAATTGAAAGGACAATTAGGGGCAAACAAAACAAATTTTAAATTTAACATGGGAGAGAGTGAAACTTGACCAATTCCTTTGAGAGCAATTTTGGATCCATGTGCTGAGGTGATAAAATGGGGTGATTTAAGAGAGGACATGGAAGAAAACAGAGAATCATTACCAGCTATGTGATCAGAGGCACTTGAATCAATGATCCATGGACTTTGACTTGCAGTTAATTGAGAAATATAGGCTGTAGAAATAGTTGGGGTAGAGGAAGATTGAGCTTGACTCATAGCTTTCCATTTTGAAGATATTCTTGATAATCATTTTCAGGGATCTTTTTCTCAAACTTTTCTGATTGATCAGACTTGGACAGATTTGCTGTCTTTTCTAGAAAGCCATGGAGAGAGTAACAATTCTCGAGTATGACCCATCTTTTTGTAGTAGGAACATTGAGGACGACCACTTCTACCCTATTCCTCGGTTTCCACGACCACCTCTTCCCCTAGACGAGACCATAGCAGAAGCTTCAACAATGATAGTAGAATTTTCGCTCTTGGTTTCAGTTGGAACTCGGAGTAGTCTAGTAACTAAGTTGTCCATTGAGGGAATGTCATGACTGGTCAGGAGTTGATCACGAACATGATTAAAATCTGAATGCAATGTTCGTAAAATCATCACCATATATAGCCTATCCAGTTTTTTCTTCATTCCTTCCGATGATTCATCATCAAGAAACAACTTTAGTTCTTCCACAGCAGCTTGAGTTTCAGCCACATGAGAAACCATATCATGACTAGTTTGTCTCAAAGAAGCTAACTTTTTGTGTAGCATCATATAGCCTTTGAATGTCATTAGCATAGATATTTTGTGCCTTATTCCAAAAGGAACAACAAGTTTTAAAGGTTCTAAGTGTTCCCAAATATTGGGTTCCATAGATTGCCACAGCATAGCACATAACTAAAAATCAACTTTCTTCCACTGAGCTTTATTCTCTGTTGACCCTTCAATGTCTTTCTTTTCTAGGTGGTCATGGTGCCCTTGACCAAGAAACCAGAGTTCCACAGAGGCAGCCCATGAAAGATAATTCTTCCCATTTTTTTTTGTAGTAATAGTAGGTGTACCAGCAATAGCAAGAGCAGGACCTGAAGAAGCCATGGGAGAATAAGAAAAACCGGAAATATAGACAAGGAGAAGAAGATGAACAGTGACTGTGATCCAAACAACTACCCAAAACAATGCACTGAGGTCTAAAACAGACTCAGTAGACTGGACGAGCACAACGGCGGAGGCGCGACGAAATTTCGACGACTAGAAGGCGGCTCGTGAGATACACACGCCTGACTGAACATGAACTTGGAGCTGCGCGTGAGAGTGCGTGGAAACTCCGATGCTCTTGAAACCAAGAGGGTCGGGTTGTGCTCAACGAGGCGCACCAAACCCTAAGGGAATCGGAGACTTTGGTTGCCGGCGGACGGTGGCGGATGGCGGCAGACGACAGACCCACTCTGATACCAACTTGAATGTTAGGATAATTTGAAAGAAGTGTGTCAGCACACTTCATTGCTTCATTCTAGATATATAAGATTGAGTACACAAATATACATCATAGGCTGAAAAGGCTAAGAGCCAAGACTACACAACAGGTATACAAAAAGAAATAATAAGAAATTGAGAGGCTTTTCTAATAAGCTATTCTAACAAAGTTATGAGTGCTGAAGATTCACACACAATTCCTAAATCATAACACTGTTAAAAATAGCTACTGTTGAGGGTTTTCTTTTGCAAAGAGATTGATACACCTTTTTTTTTGCGTTTCTTGTAGAAGGAGATCTTCTTCTCTTACTTTTATTTTACTTTACTGATATTTGTTTTATAAAAGAACATTTTACAACTTGAATGTAGGCTTATGACAGTGCTGCCCTTGTTTAGTTCTCCTGCTGCTTTGAATCACAAATGTACTATTCAACAATGATCTGTTAGTGACAATTTGATATTTTATAGTATGCTTTCATCTGTTAAAATTCCTTGGTTAGAATTTATTCATGTTTTGTACATTCATTAATTGATTTTTGGTGTAATATTCTATTTTTATCTATTATTTTGATATTCAGGTAAGGAGTATGAAACGGGCTAGGGATATTCGTGATCAGCTTGCAGGTCTTTTAGAGAGGGTTGAGATTGAATTAACTTCAAATGCTAATGATTTAGATGCCATCAAGAAAGCCATTACATCTGGTAAACTTATAAAACTATTATTTCTTGCACTGCAGATATTTCTTAGTCTGCCAAATCTAATTTTTAACTGCTGCAGGGTTTTTCCCACACTCTGCACGACTCCAAAAGAATGGATCATATCGGACTGTTAAACATTCACAGACTGTTCATATACATCCTACTTCAGGGCTGGTGCAGGTACTATGGTGTTGTTTGTTGCTGATGACATACATATGTCTTTTTTAATGGATTTCTAGTTACTATTAGAAGATTTGTGTGTTTGTGTCGTTGAATAAGCAAATTCTAATCAATCTAAACCTAAAAAATTATAAACACTGAAATTACCCGCCACTAAGAGCTACATTCAGTTCCAAAGTCACAAATTGGGATTTCCTCTAAATCCAACTTGATACAATGATGATACCTCACTTCAAAGCAATTTGGGATCCCTCACCTATGAGCAAAACCCTCTGAAGGATTCCTTGTCCTTGGTTGCTTGAGATTTCTCATCCAAACCACAAAAACCAAAAAATAAAATAAATTCACAATTGTAGAGAACAATGTTTTAAAAACCAGACCAATCATCAAACTGGGCAAGATACTAGATCAATGGAGGTTGAATTGGTGGGTCACTTATTGAACTACATGACCCAGTTTCTATTAGGTTTTAAACATAGTTGTCAATCGCGGTAGGAGCGGCCGCTATCGCGGCGCTCTGGAGCGGAGCGGTCCGACATCGCAATGGTGATGTTATCGCATCTCGGATTGCTGCGCGGGTGGAGCGCCCGTGTCGTCGTGGAGTGGAGCGGCCAAAAAGTGCGGAATCGCGCCGCGTCTTGGACAGACCCTTCATTAAGCGTAAGTCCGTCATTTCAGTTGGGTTTTTCTTGTTCTAAATCTTCCTCTCCCTCTCGTGGAACCATTGTTGTTGGTTTCTGAACGTCTCACTCTCGCATTCCCTCTCCTCTCTCTCGGACTCGATTCTTTCTCTCTCGGGGATGATTGCTGACGCACTTCGGTCGTCTTCTTTAGGCGTCTTTGTCAGACGCTCCTCTAGTTCCGACGCACGTCGTCAATTCCGACCGAGGCTCCTCCAGTTCTGACGCTGCTCCTCCAGTTCCGTCTTCCGACGTCCTCGTGTCTTCTGTTTTCTTTGTTTGTCTTCTCATTTTTTATTTTATAATTTTTATTTTTAATTTGTACTTAAATTTAATTCAGCAATTTTTATTTTTAATTTGTGATTAAATTTAATTCAGCAGTTTTTATTTTTAATTTGTGATTAAATTTAATTCAGCATTTTTTATTTTTAATTTGTGATTAAATTTAATTCAGCAGTTTTTATTTTTTAATTTGTGATTAAATTTATATTATGTATTGTTTGAGTTCTATGAACTTTTAATTATTAAAAATGTTTAATGCATGAATTTAGAGTTATTTTTTGTTTTTTTAGCTTTTATATATATTATTAATTATTTAATATATATAAATTAATATTAAAATAGTGGTTATCCCGCTCCGCGTCATCCCGCTATCCCATTTATAGGGTCGACCGCTCCGCTCCGCTATCCGGGATTGACTACTATGGTTTTAAAAAAAATTATTTGTGCCACATATATTTATACTTATAAATTTTAATAAAATTCATATCATGTCTTAAAAAGGTCCCCGAAAATTGTAATAAATATAATATTGACAAAACAACTAAATTATAAACATGTTGAACCACATAAATTAATGTATAATTAAATACATAATTTTAAACAAAAAAATATCATATACTTTTTTTTAAGTCAATTATATAACAATTTAGCAAGTTGGTTTAGTGATTATTGAGGTGTTTAGGGTTTAAATAATTACATTCATCTTGTATATGTACTCCCTCTATTCTTTATTATAAGAAAAAAAAAACACATTTTTTGTTCTTATATATAAGCAAATTTCAACAATTTTTATCTCATTTAATGATACTCTTTTTAAAATATCCCACTTTTAATACATGGCCTTTTGGTTGCATTACTTCTTTGGACATTTATAACAAGGATAATTTAGAAAGAATATTATAGCATTAGTAAAATTTAACGTAGATAATTTTTTAATATGCATAAAATCAATTTTTTCCTTATAATTGACATTAGAAGTATTAAATATATAATTTAAATATAATGTAAGTATATAAATAAAATATGGGACATATATAACACAAATAACATGTAGTTAAGTGGTTATTTTATCTACCCTGCAATTTCGTGGTTTTGTGTCAGTGTGCAGCGGGGCATTGCAACAGTGCTGGAAATGGCTTTAAAAGTAAAGCCGTTTGGACCGAGGAGCCAGTTTTCACCGGTTTTTAACCGAGTTGCTGACATCAACATAGGTTAACTACATAAATGATTTGAAAACATGATCAGATTGGGCATGGGTGCGGTTACTGGTTAAACCAGTGGGACCGTCTGGTCCAGTCTGAGTTAAAAAACTATGGCAAAGACACTATTTTTGGTCCCTTGACTCCCTTCCTTTCAATAAGAGTGTTGAGTAGAAATTTTGGTAGAGTAATAACACCGTATGGCTGTAAAAAATTGCATTATAAGTGTGGAGGAAGGCTAAGAGCCTAAGCCATCACATTAGCATAAGAAATACACAATATTGAAAATTAAGAAGCTTCCTTAGTAAGTTATTCTAACACCCCCTCAAGCTAGAGCATGCAACTTGTATGAGCCAAGCTTGGAACATAAAAACTGAATGCGAGGTCTCCAACGATTTAGTCATAACATCTGCAAGTTGTTCATTGGAGGTGACAAATTTAGTAACAATTTCCTTAGACAACAAATTTTCTATGACAAAATGACCGTAAATCTCTATATCTTTAGTTCTCTCATGAAATATTGGATTGGCAGCAATGTGGAGTATAGCTTGATTATCACAATTCACAATACAATTTTATTGGATGAACTTCATAGAATTTTAACTCTTGAAGAAGTTTCTTAATCCACATAAGTTCACAAGTAATCAAGGTAATGGCATGATATTCAGCCTCAACATTAAATTGGGCAACAACATTTTGCTTCTTGCTCTTCCAAGATATGAGATTTTCATCTAGGAATACATAGTAGCCAAAAGTGGAACGTTGATCTATAGGAAAACCTGCCCAATCAGCATTGCAATTGCCAAAAATTTGGCTCTCTCTTTTGTTTTCATATGACAATCCTTGTCCTGGAGCCTTTTTGATATGTCTAATAATAGAGTTGAGAGAGAGAAAAAGAGAGTGGAATTGAGAAGATGAAAGAAAGTTTACAATAGGAAAAATATATTTTTCATTAACTGACCAAGAGTAATGCAAGACAGGTTTATATAGAGCCAATTTATATTGGTCTATAATAACAGTAATAAATGTGTTCATATAATTAAGGAGTAAAACTATACTCCAATATCCCCAGCAAGCTCAAGTAGGATGAGGAGACTCGACTGTTTGGAGCTTGGACCGAAGAATGCAGAACTGCGAAGGAGAGAGAGCTTTGGTGAGGACATCAACACATTGATCAATGGCTTGAACATGAACAACTTGAAGACACTTGGCAGCTACTTTTTCTCGAACAAAGAAAAGATCTAATTCCATGTGCTTGGTACGTGCATGAAGAACAGGGTTGCGAGCAAGGGCCATAGTGTTCAAGTTGTCACAGAAGATGATTGGAGTTGAATGATTCACTTTAAGCTCAAAGAGTAACGTTTGTATCCAAGTAACTTCAGTTGTGGAAAGAGCAAGACTTCTATATTCTGCTTCAGTACTCAAACAAGCAATAATAGTTTGCTTTTTGGACCACCAAGACACAAGATTTGTATTGGGAAAAACCCAAGTCCCACATTGACTAGAGATTAGGCAATTGAATAGTATATAAGTGAAAAGCAACCCTCACCTTACAAGCCGGTTTTGTAGGATTGAGTTAGGCTTAATCCACTATTCTAACATGGTATCAGAGCCATTTAGATCCACTTTAAAAATGGGCCACCCTCCATTGATGCATGCCTCATAGGTGTGAGGGGGTGTATTAGGAAAAACCCAAGTTCCGCCAATCCTAGATCATTAAAAAGTGCCGGCAACCATTTATCCATATACCAAGCCCAATAGTGCTGGACGGGAGAGGGTGTATTGGGAAAAATCCAAGTCCCACATCGATTACAGATTAGGCAATTGAATAGTATATAAGTGGAAAGCAACCCTCACCTTACAAGTCGGTTTTGTAGGGTTGAGTTAGGCTTAATCCAGTATTCTAACAATTTGGTCCAAGAAAGATGGAAGCACCGGATGTGGATCGCCTATCATCCGGATTAGATGCCCAGTCTGCATCACAATAGGAATGAATGGAAAGAGAGGAGGAGGAAGAAGTTGGTTGCAAACGAAGACCCCAAGAGGTAGTGCCCTTCAGATATCGAAGAATTCGTTTAACAGCAGACCAATGATGTGCAAGAGGATGAGACATGAATTGACAAACTTTGTTTATAGAGAAGATGATTTCGGGTCTTGTGATGGTGGCATATTGTAGGGGCACCAACAACTGAACGATAGAGAGACGCATCCAAGAAGTCTCAGAACTTGCTTTGGATAGTTTGCTGCTAGGAATCATTGGAGAAGCAATAGGTTTCAATGCTTCCATATCAGTGCAGTTTAAGAGGTTTATGATGTATTTGCTTTGAGTGAGGATGAGGGAAGCAGAATATTGAGTTTTGACTTCAATGCCAAGGAAATAATCAAGGTCACCTAGATCTTTGAGAGAGAAGACCGAATGGAGTTGAGAGACAAGTGTATGAAGGATAGTAGAATTATTCCCAAAATGATGATAATGTCATCAACATACACCAAGATGTAGATGACATTGTTGGCATGTGAGTATATGAACAAAGACGGGTCACATTTACTTGCTTGGAAGTTAAACTGCAGTAGAGTTGATTTAAGCTTTTCAAACCAAGCACGGGGTGCTTGTTTGAGCCCATAGATGGCTTTGTGAAGTTTGCAGATGAGATTTTTATCAGAAGCTTCAAATCCTAGGAGTTGGGTCATATACGCTTCCTCTTCAAGAGTGCCATTGAGAAAGACATTATTAAGATCTAGTTGTTGAATAGGTCAATGATGGGTTAAGGCAAGAGTAAGAATGAGCCGAACAGTGACGGGTTTGATAACAGGTGAGAAGGTTTCATGATAGTCAAAA